TATATATATATATATATATATATATATATATATATATATATATATATATATATATATATATATATATATATATATATATATATATATATATATATATATATATATATGAGGAGAAGCTTTGGTGAGCTCTACCAGGGTCAAGGAGATTTTTACACGCTTTTGTTTGATTAAATCATAAAAAGGGAAATTTTTTCTTGTAACAAGCTGCTGTTGAAACATACTACTGCTATATTTATAAGATTTGCCTTATAAAAATATTATATTTATGTTTGCCACAATCCTGGACAAGTAATATATTAATATATTAATGATATCTGAGAACAAGCACAGTTGACAAAACAACATCAAATATATTACAATCCAATAAAATAAGATTTGAACATAAAAATCCTCATTAGAAAATCTGATACATCAAACTCGAAAGTCAAAAGCAGCAAGAACATTACCGACAAGATGTAAGCTACCTGTCACCAAAACGACGACTTCATTCTTTGTAGCTTCAGACTTTTCAATTCTCTCAATTGCCTTTTGGACACAGTCAAATACTTCAGCTTTCGTATGCTGAAAATCAGAAATATACTTTATGAATTAGGAAGATTAAAACTCATGTCCTAATTTGTACTAGATAACGAAAAACTATCGAAAGCACACATTATTTGGTGGAATAATTAAAAGACTGAAATAATATAAACTGCTGATAAGGAAATGCTTGTAAGTAAAAAATTGGAAATAAAGAGTAATACAAACAGCATAACCAAAATTTCTCCATATGGAGGCATGATCGGCAACTCTATTCATCTCTTCATAACTTGAACAAGCATAATTAGCTCGATCAGAATGTTGATCTGTCACGGGATTTAATCGAGGCGGACAAAATAATGCCAATTTGAAATCATATTTCTATAATAAAAATACTTTTAAAAATTATTTCGCCATGACAGTATGACCACATATAGTGGATTACCTATACTAATGTGTTGAAAAGTAAATTTTGGGACACGTTGAGCACAAAAGTATTAACCATCAGCCGTTCCCCTCCTATTCTCTCCTCATCTTTTAATGTTTTAATCCACGTTTGCATAGATTATGCTCATGTTTGTCAAAGCCTCCTATGGAAAATACGGTCGTTTATTTTGCTATTGCTATTTTCCTACGGGATATTTGATCTGACCAAATTTTAGAATGAAAAATACCTTGAAGGTTTAAAATTTTGACATATATAAAATGAGCATGAAAATGCTAAGTGTGGGAAAAAGCGAACAGCTTCAGCGAAAACATTGGAAATAGGTGAAAGAGTTGAGAAGCTGAAACATGAGGCAAACAGCTAAGAACAAAAGAATTTAATAAGCCGTTACTTGGTGTGCAACTATATCTCAAGAATTGACGATGAAGTTTCAAAAAAATTACACTTAATTCTTGTAGAAACATAGAAGGATCCCTGGAACCGGTGCAATGAAATAGCAGTATCAAGAATGGATCACATTCCCATGATCTTCTCGCTCTTTGATTTTCGTCCAAAAACCACTTCATGCAACACTGAAATAGCAGTAGAGAGCAATAAGAAGCCGAAGATCTCAGACAGTTCTGAATACTTCTGATTCATGTTTTAGAGTTAGCAAACATTGAAGATCATTTTAAGCACAAATCGTCCTTATGCTAGGTATAAATATCGAATTTTGAGAGATGTTAAATTCAATGCAACAGAATGTAGAAAAACCAACTTCCAGACTTTTCGGTGTGTGCGCTCCATCAAGGTAATATGTTACCGATCCACGCTTGATTATCTGACTTCTACCAGGCCATCGGCACAAACGAATACCATCTAGAAACTTTTGCGGTACAACAAAACCAGGCAACATTTCTGAATTTGATAACTCGGCATTCTCAACATGCTTGAACAAATCGGCTGAAAACTGACACATCTTGAACGTTAAAAAGTATTAAGTAATAATTTTGGGACTTTTGTATGTTCGAAATAATTCTACTACTTTTGTGACATAAACTTCAAGGAATTTTCAGTCCATAGATACTAGCCAAATTTTCAATGATTTATGGTCGAGAACTTGAGCCACAAATCACGAAAAGTTTTTCAGTCGATTCACAACTCAATAGGTTACACGTCCGACTTACTGAATTTGTGAACTTTTTCTAGCCACAGTCTGACCAATTGGAAGGCCAGTGTTATATTCAGCTGTTGATGGATACCAGATATACCATACTCAATGTTGCTAAGTGGCCAGCCGTATGCAGTGAATGGTGGAGCTATTTGCATAAGACACTAAAAATTTCTCACTTCACTTTGATGTCTTGTTTTTACCGATAGTCTTCAGATAACTTTGAAATAATGTGCATGGTGAGAGATTTCTACGGTATTTCTGACTAACTGCAGCAAATAGTCTTACTAAAAAAATTAAAACAGAATCATTTCAAGAAATACCCAGTAATGTTTTTAACATAAAGTCCTTAAAACTTTGATTTTTTAATTTCAAATTCAAAAGCAAACATTTTTAGAAACTGCTCGTTCCCTTAACACTTCCATTGCCCCGTCGGGCTGTTCAGAAACGACTGCCATACCACCATTTTTGAAAATACCTGCTTTGTGCCAAGCAATTAATTCAATTGTAGAACCAAGAATTGATGTGTGATCGTAGTCCAAAGTAGTTAGACCGCAGACTACGGGATTCCTGCAATGGTCACGTAGTTCGAACACTTTTTTGTTTGAACAGTTGAATGGCTAATATCATATTCAATTCAACTTACTGAATGATATTGGTACAGTCATGCTCACCACCAATGCCAACTTCTACAATTGCAACATCGACTTTTTCCTCGATAAAAACGTGAAATGCCATTACTGTGAGGAATTTGAAATATGAAGGCATCGTTGCCGTTTTGTCTGATTCCTAAAGGAAAAAATTCAAAGGAAGTTTAAAGAAAACACGGCAACGTATAAGAATCTATATAAGCATATCACATTTCCCTTTTTTCAGCCATAATGTGATTTTCTGCAATTCTACTAGGATGATATTAGATTCGCAATGTCAAGAAATACGGAACTTTGACGCTCTATTCGTATCAACAAGTCCGAGGATATTCATAGATTACATAAACCCTAAGTTGCAAATCACGTAGCAAATCATTAAAGAATGGATAGTGCAAACAACACCAGCACGGTGCTATCAAACATCCAACTACAGAACATTCTGGTAATTCTAGCAGTAAATTGAAGATACGTAACCTACGAAATTGTTCAAAAGAGGCAGTCCAGAAATGGCGTTAGTCATACAACTGAATTTCATTAATACCTAGGTCAACTGTACTGACATCTAAATGATCTCAGAAAACGAATATATCTACTCACAGACAGATCGCTGGATGCGTTAGTTGATATAACATTTAAATTACAGAACATTGCAGAAAAGTAACCGTTAAAAACCGATATAAAAAGATGCTGTATACATATACCTTGACTGCTTTTTCCAAAGAACTATAAATGTACTCAAAATATTTGACAAAATCTTCCTCCATTAATGGATTACCATTGATTCTGATACGTTCACGAACATGAACAAGATGTGGAGAACTATAAATTGAGTGAAATTCAATATATAAAAGTGAACTCGAACCTAAAATTGTGCAATTCGCTGCAGCCGTACTTTTTACATATTTACTACTTTGCTTAAGCCATAAAAATCCTTTTCATAGGAATGCATCTTGAACAATTACGACGCTAGACTGATTATTTTGTGCCCAATTTACAATTAACACTGACCACCTTCAAAGTTATTTATGAAGTAAGTTAAGCAGCACTTTTGGAAACTGGTGTGAGCTCTATCCATTGCAGCTGACTGTAATCTGTTCAATTTTATGCTTTATAAAAATAAAAAGATGAATGAATCAAATTCAAATCTCCTCAATATTTTTATTGATTCCTTTTGTTTTCACCACTTACCGCTAGAAATATACAACAGCTCCATCATAAATGGAAAGTCGTGATTCCATAATAATCAACCAATAGTGATTTATATATGTCCGATTTGTTTTATTGATGAACTTCATAACTAAATGCTTTACCTGTCAGCGTATGAACTCTTCAAGTTTCGGAAATTACCCATTGTAGCATACCAAAATGCATCGTAATAACTCATACAACGTAACACCAACAGCGTAATGTGTCAATAAAATCAAGCAGTTTTTTCGAAGCAAAGTTTGACAACTCACCTATAGAAACCAGTTTTGAACCCAAGCTGTCGTAGGATTGATTCAGTAAATGCACACGTCGAGCCTTTACCTTTCGTCCCGCTAACATGTATTACATTCAATCTGTCAATTTCGTCCAGCTAAAATTTCGAATAGTTTGCAACACTTCATTAATAAAAATTTCTATAAAACTAAAAAAAGTTAACGCGCATTTAGAAAAACTTCATTGGAATGCAAGATAACACGTTAAAAGTAATCTAGTAGCAAGCGAAGGAGAAATGAATGGTTGGAGTTATGAATCTTGGATCAGACGTAATTTTATCACACTATTTCCACAATACTTTCTTCTCTTTCCTTAATAATTATAATATCCCAACACAAGAGTAAATAAAATTAAACACTCCTTAAGAATTATTTTCTCAACCTTACAACATACATTCTTCAAGTTCGGAATAAAACATAAAAGTTTCACCTCAATATTGCATTTCTCAAGGCACCATTTTGTTATGTCATGATTTACATTAGGCGTTTGTCCACGCTGGCTCAGTGATTTTCGAACTGTCGCTGCATTGCTTTGCAAGCCATTCAAACGTGCTATTGATTCCTGTAGTGAAGAAGTGTTGAAAGTTATAGTTGTCAAAAAGGATTCCTCAATTTTTATTTCGTAAATTTGAACAAAAACTTTAATTCTTTTGCGCTGTGGATAGATGACAACCAAAGAATGAATGTGAATCTCAAAGAATGTGTTATAAAAAAAATTGATTTCATAAACTATCGTGTGTGATAACACCGAAAAGCTCTTGAATAACAGGACAAGGTTAGAATTTTAACATGAAAATTATACCTAATAATTAGGGCCACACAGCTAAAAAATATTATGTCCAGGTGTTAAAAAACATTTGTGAAATTCTATGAAGGGTCTGCAAACTACCACAACAAATTTAAAATTCAATTGTTCAAAATTTTAAAAGTGTTAAGCATAGTTAAAGAAACAAATTTCTGACTTCTGTTATCACTGTGTCACTTCGGACCAACTTCGGAGGTAAAATATTATCGTTATGGTCTTTTATGGCATTGAGAATGAAGGGTGTCCCTTTTGAAGAAAAAATAATTATAATACGAAGAGGCACTCCATAGAATCGAGATTTGGAATTAAATTTAATTGCGCGTTGGAAATGAAAACTTGACTAACTTTATACGGTGTTGACATTTTTGAAATATATTCTGGCGCCTTGGTGAGCAGTAACCGCCAAAGATTTGTTGTTGAACACGAATAGAGGAGACCGGCTCTTCTAACGAGAAAGTATTTACACCAAAGGGAAAGCAGTGACCTCTGCAATTGAGCCCATGGATGATTGATCTCCCTCTCTTCTCTTTTCAATGAAAGGTAATGGACTGTATAGGTTTTAGAAATTTCATAATTATTTTATCATTGGATCTGAATTCATTTCATTGAAGGAAACTATGTGGGAAGATGAAACAGAACGGAAGAAGTTTTGGCTTGCAATTTTACTCTGCTCTGTTAATATGATGCTTTTTATTATTTAACATTGTTAATTTTGTTATCAATGAGTTTAGGTTAATGATAACGAAGTTAACAACAATAATTAGTAAAAAAGCCTAACATTATTCAAGAAGTGAATTAAATTATTGGGCGATCATTTGATATGATGCGTTTGTTTACGATGCACACTTTGTTAAAGGAATTAAAAAAGTCTCATTTTAGAACTAAACTGATGGAAATAAAGAATGGAATTAATTGTTGGATAATGTAATAAAATATTTTGCTATGTACGAAACGAAACTTTTTATTTCTCGAAAAGCGATATTGACTATAACAAACGTGAAATAAGGCTTAGCAAATTTCAAAATATACCATCTTCCACTAAACGGTAACAAATGCTGCAGAGAAGACTGCACTCAGCTTTGTTGACAAGATTATATTATGTCTGTAAATAAAGCAATAAAATGCAAACTTCCGTAAGTGCTGCCATTTGTGTCACTTGGAATGACTGGATAGGGAACTGATAAAAGTGTCACTTACCAAAATTACAGCTCGGCCTAAAAACATAAACCAAAAGGTAAAATAAATAGTCATAGCGTTAAATGAAGATTAGCATTTGAATGTGCAACTATGGAAATGATTCGAAAGAAGGTAACTTTGCTCGGAGTGATCTTTTTCTTGGAAAAATTATTGGGAAGACTTGTCAAAACATTATATCTAAAGTAACAATATATAAAAGTATTATTAAATAGGAAAATAATGAGGGATGTGAAGCATAAATGAGCGAGTAGCAAAAAATGGCTAACACATCGTACTTTTTAGTCTAAAACAGCGGTCTCTAACCGGGCGCACTAAAATTTGGACCGCCAAAGGTATTAAAAATTATGTCCCTTCCTCTTTATATTATAATGTTACTCTAAGCTTACGTTAAAAGTTTTGATTAAAGCGCTTGATTCATATTTTTGAACCTGGTGGTCCATGTTACAAATAAAAAACTCAGAGACTCAAAGGATCAAGTTCCCCCTGGTCAAGAAAAGACTGCGAACCACTAATCTAAAAACCTTTTTTAACGAATTAAAAAACATAACCTGTCCATAAACGGTCATCGATGATGAAGGGAACGTGAATTACTGTTCAATACAAAACAAAAGCGTCCATTATCCATCATTCTGAATTCCACTTTGTTTCGGCCTAAATTATGCTTTCAGCAAAATTTTCTCAACAGTTATCATCCCTTACTCCTTCTGCGCAGTTTTTAAATGGTAAGGATTTTCCAGTATCTAACCCATAAAGTCCAATACCTTGTCCTCATAGATGAGCAAAAAACTGAAGCAATAATAACAGCATATTTCGCATGAATTCGCTATTTACGAATTCATAAATGCAAATAAATAAGCTGCGGCGCACCGGAAGAAAATTATAACAATTAAACTTACAGTCCTTGCAATCTTTTACTAAAAATAAACTAATGACGACAAAAAAAACCTCTTCAATAACAATATATGCGTCATTTAATTTTGAAATTCAAAAATTACTTGTCTGTAAGACAACTGTATAAAATTTATATCCTTAAAAGAAGCTAAAATCTAACACAGTGAATTTATTTACCAGGATTTACAGAAAACAACACAAAATGCAATAACAAGGAGCAAAGAACACATAGATACTGACAAATCGAAGATCGAACTGAATGAATATAAAACAGGAATAGTAGAAATGAACACTTAAGCCTTCTTTTTCTAATAAAGCATATGAAGGTATGTGAATTATCATAGTTATATAAAAACTGACACATCGGAGGAGGAGGAGAAGGTTAGACGATGAATGAGCACACCACAATATAAAATCATTTTGAAAAAAAAGGTAAGAAACATTTTTGAACAAACTTTTGCTTGGTTGTTACCAAAGACAATCATTCTCAGATTCGTTTATCCTTTTTTTCTATAAATAATTACGTATAACTCCGACTTCTCTTGTAATTTTCACGATGTCCTGCAATCTCTTCAGAGCTATTAAACATTTATGCAAAAACAACATGGGAAACATATGGAGAAATTATTTTCAAACAAAGACTATTCACATACAATAATATAAAACACTTGAGACCATAGCTTCGCTTGTTTACTAAATGAGATTTATTAACTTGATTAAGTACAAAGTTCCTTCTTTTTTAGATTTTTTTGACTGCAAAAAGATTGTGGTTCTGCAAAGAATCCTAAAATTAAAAATTATTCAAAGCGAAACTCGTTCTTTTTGGCATTTTTCATTTGGCAATACACTGATATAATTAAATTGTTGATTCTGTCCAGTGCCAATGGTTCGTTTTCTTATAAAACAATAAAAGAATTAACTGCAAGGATAAAATTGAAAATTCTTCACTTTTTCTGGAAAAATGAACTGATTTTTGCTTGTCCTTGTGGTATTTTAGCATTTCTGCGCTCTTTATTATCCAGAAGCTCAATATTCATTGTTTTGCCATGTGTTCCATCAAGTGTATTAGTTGATGATGGTTTAAGTTCGATTTCTTTCAACACCTGCTTTGTAACTGCAATCAGAAATGGGACTCATAATAATAGTTCGCATTTTAATTATAACTTCACAGTAACAGATTTGCATCAAATGTACCAGTATAAATAGTATAATTATGACCCACTACCACATCCGGAAAGCTTACCCATGAAACCATCAACATCCAGAAAAGTTTCCGTAACATATTCCTTTCGTATCGCTTTTCTCTTGCTTCCATACCTCTCATTTTCCAAGCCATCGTTCTTTGCTGTATTCAGTGCATTCAATGTACAACTTATAACTGAGTCGAAAAATTAAAGCTTATTTTAAAAATCATTATTAAACATGCCATTTACCCACCACTCAATTGAGTGAAATTCATTACTGATAGTCCCACCTTTAAAACATCCGTTCCACGGATGTTTTCCAGTTAAATACTGCTTACTGAAAAAGAAAGAAAGTAAAAAATACGTAGTTCCTATAAAAGTTATGAAAATTCAAGAATTCAAAAGAACTAACAAAACTGAGGCATTTTTTTTGGATTTCTTTTTTCTTCTCCAATTTCCATTCTTCCGGTTTCGTCACAATCCATCTTGTCCTCATTGGAATCGCCATCGGAAAATAAATCCTCCTGTGCTAAAATCATTCACTTGCTCAATATAACTGATACCAGTACTAAATCTGAATAAACATTTTCTCTCCTAAACGATCAACAATTTTGGTGTATTGTTTAAAGTGTGGATTTTTTCTGGACAATGCTACAAAATCTAATCACGACTTCCTCTTTTAGTTTCAAATTACTGAATTCCCAGAATTTGATAAACGCCATTGATAAACGCCATGGACTGTTATTTTTTATGCTTTCTTCATTAATGCAAATATCATTATTTTCCCCTCATAAAATAAAATTTTAATGTGAACTTAGAAAGGTGTTTCTCGCTTTTACAACTACATCTTTCTTTTCCGAAGTTGTTATTTCTTCTGACTTCTCCACGACATTTCTCATACCAATAATCTCCGACGACTCATTTTCTTCTCTCATATCTAGTTCTTTACTATCAATGAAGACACGTTGCCCACGATGTCTGCAATTTTCTTAAGCTAAAACAAAAAGCTAATAAACTTGATGCAAAAACATATTTTCTTATATGAAAGAATAGGAAAAGAAAATGGGATCAAAAAACAGCGTACTTTTTTTCTTCAACACAACTATTTACAAAAGCGAGAGAAAAAATTGCACCGAACCAACAAAGTATGAAAAAATAATGGAAGGTAAACAATCTCTGAAAACCCTTACTTGATACTTTCGCCTGGCATGATATTAGTTTTTTTGCCCATATCTCTTCGCTCCTTTTGCGAGACGCTACTCATCGATGGCTTGAAATATTTAGATGAAAACAAGTTATCTTGATAACAGTTAATTCAATGCCTGCAGCAGCAGTATTGAAAGTAAACATAGTAAATTGTCTTTTTTTCTCTTCTTTTTTGCTTATTTTTTATAAAATCTACTTTTCACATACTTAGGAAAATGGCAATAAAGAAATGTTTAAAATTATCTACAATGTTTTTTCTGAAAACTTACGAAGAAGTCAAAAATATATGAATTATCTATTTAAGAAACCATTTTTCAAATAAGTAGGCTTTTATTATGAGAATTTCTAATTGCATTAAAATTTTATACTGGCATGCACATTCTAATTTAAACACAGTGCAATTTAAAGCCTAGTGCTCGAAATGCTATAATATGTTTCAGCCATCCATCACTCGGCATCAAATAATCGAATGTGAGACCGGAAGAACACGCCATATGGTAGCTACTAGCTCCACCAATTTGAGAGACTTATATTTTAAATCCAGATTCCGCACCCCTCCAACTCTTTATCGGGTGCTGTAGACAATGAAAGAAAATTTCTTAGTATTCGGAAAAATAAATTAGGGAAAACTAGATTATAAAATGAAGCGTTACCACTTCAAACTATGCCATATCGCTTTCTGAACACTGGGAACACTTTTATTTCTGAACACTTTTATCTATTCATAAAACGACAATCGACACTGTTGATGGTGCTTTGCTAATAAAAAAGAAAGGAAAATTGAACTTACCGTTTTTTTTGTTTATTTTGCTTTACTGCTTGTGCAAATAGAGAAGTCATATTATCCCTTGTCTTTTTAGTGGTCGGTTCTGAAAGCTTCGATGTAGACAACAATTCCTCCTTCTGTGTCCTTTTCTGGAATCATTCGTTTACATGGAATGCAATTATCAGATAAAGATGTTGAAAAGATAATATAAGAGACGAGATATCTAGAAGACTTATATAATTTGAAATACAATGAACTTCCCGACGAAAAGGTTTAAACTTTTACTAACCAGGTCTAAAAAATGAATTTTTTATGATGCGGTTAATGTTAACTATAATAAGAGTTGCAAAAGACCTTGCCGAAAGATTTGTAAGTATTTAAACAGCTATATATACATAAGATTTTATTCCTCTCTGGCATTGCTTACCATCTTTATAAGATTTATTGCCATTCAAGACCATATCATACAATGACCTATTTTTTAGCACAGTCGAACAGCGGTCATCAAGCGGTTGCAATACATTGCTACTATTAAAGCTAAATCATCTTTTTGCTACCTCTATGCCTCGAACCTCTATGCTTTAATTTGCGATACTTATTTCGTTCTTTTCTTTTTTTTCGAGATTTTCATCGGGATAAATTCTTCTACAAAAACGATAGTAAAGCTCATCAGCAGCGGTCGTTAGAAAACGTTCAGTTAATAAGAAAAAAAACCGGCTAAGAAAAATAAGTACTCTCTTTTGTTCACAAACATTCAAATATTCGAGAAAACCAAGAAAGAACTAACTCTTTGAGGTTCAGACACAGAAATAGCGCTATAGTGTGCCAACATCTCTTTTTTCTTTGTTTCCGCTTCTGGATATGATAGCCAGCTCCGTTCAGAATCAGTCCGCTCATACTCGGCGTCTTCCAAACTATCTACGGAATACAACAAACAAAGACTCTGCAAACCTTCGCACATTTACTTTAATATCAAAACGTGAGTAATATGTGTATAATGCATAACTTTTTTTCCATTTAATGCGCAACGTTCATCTACGGGAAAATCCAAAGTGTTGCAATTAAATTGATTTTTGAACAGAGTAAGAAAAACATCATGAGAAGTAAACCTGAGAAAAAATACACAAAATAATTATTTCCTTAAGCAAGAAAAGGTGAAGCAAATGTCTTACTATGAATAACAATTTGTTCTTATTATATTGCGGCTGCTGCTTCACCTTTTCACAATGTATGTTATTATGTATCTCGATTATATTAAAGAAAATGAAGTAGCAGTGACCTTAATGGGTTTTGTGTGTAAACAATAAATTTCGCATGTTTCCATCTTCCTGTAAGCTTGTCGTGTTTCTTCTAAATCACAGTCACGAACTAATTGCGTTCGATGAAGCTTGCGAGTGACTGCTGCATTACCTGTGGTACTGCCACTATCAAGATCTGGTACACTGAGCTCCCCACTCACAATGTATACTGCATGCAATTCCGTTCTATTTTTATTCTGTTTTAGAAATTCAGCTAATTCACTGAAAAAAAAAAGCACAATGGATGAAATTGTAGTAATGCTCTGTAATGTCTGACTGAAGTCATTTTCATATGAAAATAAAATAAGTAGCTTCACCCAATGGAGTTGAAAGGGAAAGTTTTGAACACGTTTTCATGGGAAATAAGGAATCTCATGCATTAAATATATGCAAAGTAAAAATAAAGTGATACTGAATACAGTTTTAAGCACTGTATTGCTAATTGTATTGTAAAGACAAAAAGGCACTCTTTCGCATCATCGATCGGCAAATCAGCATGCCTGCTTAGGTATTGCACCGTGACAATCTGCTCCAGATCAAACAGCGATGTTTCCAGTATCCGACTCCTATCCAAACCCATAATTGAATTCAATTGTAACTGCTGAATGAAATCAAATTTGAATTGGTTAGCTATATGATAAAAAAAAATCCTGGCGTTAATTCTCGATTTTCTCACCAAACATATCGAATATCTCACATTTTTCCGGAGCCAGAACATTCCGCAATCCTTATCTCCCCAGGCAGGGTGGTGTAAATATGCATGCCACTTGAGCGGACACTGGATATATTAGGCAAAACTAATTGCAGAATTGAGCAGCAAATTTTATCATAAATCTTAAACAGAACAATAAATTTTTATCAACGAGAAATAAATTTTTTCCTCCCTGTGATATGGAAACTACTTTTCCACCCAGAAGATACCGTTGCAAATTTTCTTTGCAATTAAAAACATTTGAAAAGCAAGTATGGTAAGGAATATGGAGGCAATTAAAAAGGAAAACTATAAAAGTGTAAGAATTCTATGTTAGCTGAATCAACAGCTCATAACGTACACCCCACCTTAGCAATATTCAATATGTATTTTGAGTTGCCAAATAAAATAATTGAAAGAGTAAACAAAAATACCAACAAAATTTCACTAATTCATATCACATTGGAAATATCAAACACAACAACGACTATGAGCAAATAGGAGAAGGGAATTAAACAAATTAAACAGATTATTATAATTTCATAAAAGTGATAGCGGACCTGGGGAAAGAAGAAAATAACTATGTTTTTGATCAAAATCTGATGACCAGAAAAATTTGCGCTTCTCTATCAAATGAGGCAAATAAATTTTTTATACTCCGCTGCTCTCATAATATGGCAAAATCTACGAAATCCCCCCCTGTAATACTATATTTTATTTAAAACTTAACTATAAGACTATTAATTTCAAACTTAACTATAAGACTATTAATTTCTTAAGGCATGAATTTAAAACAGCTAATTCGCTTCCAAAATCCTCCTCCATTCCATATGCTAACATTTTTTTCTCTGCGAAAAGCAAAAACAGAGCCTCGTCTTTTACAATATCCCGTTACTGTAATACTGATAATTATCATAAAGTCGTGTAGTGATAGAGTCACGACTTTGCTCAACCATAGTGTCTACTAATGTCCGCAGCTGTTCTTCCGTGTAGTTCATATGGAAACGGTCTTTCAGCAAACGGACTGTATTACTGCCACCACGAAAACAGGGTAACTGCGAACCTGTAAAAATTCAAATCCATTCAAATTTAAACAAAGCATTCATCTTTAACAATCTTTCGCTATTTAAAATGCGCCCACATGTTTTTTAGGTGTCTAAAAATAGCACGAAAACGAACAATTAATAATGTAAGAAAATATAAGTGAAACTAAATTTCACACATAAAAAGAACTTTAATAGTAATAAAAAGAAAAAAGAATAAACATACAAAAGCAAACCGTTAATCATTATTTCAACAATGCTGACAATTTGCTCGTAGTGCTTCCTCGTTGCCAGCAAACCTTTCAGGATTAGAATTTTATAGTAACCGAACATATCGCTATCTACACCACCCATAACATCAACCAACTCCTGTGTCAGCTTGAATGGTGAAGTTTCGAAACCCAAATTTTTCGGTGATATGGAAAGTATGTAGCCGAAATCGATATGTATTAAATGTCCTTCAGAATCCAATAATATGTTACCATTGTGCCTGTAATTAAAATCTCATTCGAAGTTCGAAAACTAATTCATTAAGCCAATGGATTTTATTTTTCTTTTTTCCATTTTTAACTGTTCCAATATGCCAAAGGAATTTAAGACGACAGATTTTTTTTTTCATATTTTGTTCCTTGAAATTTCAAGTATAAAATCATCAAAGTGTTTGCCGTTCGGATAAAAAATAACCTGATACTCAGCGGAAAGAGGAGAAATGACTTATGCCTACCGCCATCTGGCATATTTCGTTCTGACTAACACATAAACAATAAGTGCTATGTTTTCGCGTTTATTTCAAATAAATCTAATTAAAGAAAAAGTTGAAAGCCATATAAACAGCAAAGATGTGAAATGGAAATGTGCAGACAATGTCTAAGGCTAGCTAACAATAAACATAGTTTCTTCGACAACTAAGTTTTTAAAAAAAAGAAAGATTACAACCTGTCTTTGACTTGTAAGAAATAGCAAGCAAGACTGTATCCAGCACAACTCCGTACGAAATTCTGTTGCGCAACAAGGAAAGCTTCAGAACTTGGAGGACCAAATGTTTCAAAAAAATGTGTCAGTAATGCCGGTTGTACTGCACCGAATGTTGGACTACGAATTACCATATTTTTCTTAATCTAAAAATGTTATTAAAACTGAATTTGATGGAATCCATTATTTTCTTCTCGTAGCTGTTACCACATTTTGCACTCCTAAGAAGTTTGTTATTTTTGTTTTGAGTAATTAAAAGAAAATATATAAGATTTTCAAAAACTAAAATCCACAAATCGTCTGAGCTAGAAAAATTTCAGAAGATTGAACCAACAGTAAAAATTATACCTGATGCAACGAAGATGCATCTAATATCGGCTCAATCATTCCTGAATTTGGTGAGCACACTACTATTTTATACGGTTTCAGATACAACGGAACTTTTTCTTCTATCCAGATGTTCTGGAATCAAAAAAATTAGGTAAAATGTAAGCAATCAACCAGGTTTTCTAGCACTACCGATATTGGTTTAGCTTTTACCTCTTATTTTGAGGTAGCATTCCACACTTAACTTCAATTAGATTTCACCCCATTTCAGACTAGCATTAATTGTTATTCAGAGATGGTTTCAATTCGAATAATTACTTAATTTCTAATGAAAGAAGAAGATTCAGAATAAGATAAGGAGCAGATTTTGGTCCAAAAACGAAAATGCATACTGTCAAGAGAGCATAAGAAAAAGAAATGAAGAGAAAGCAGACATGTCAAATAATAAAAAAAACAGCTGAATCGAATATGAAAGTTAAGTGATATTCCTTTATCAGATGTAAAGTAAAAAAATACGAATAAAAGAAATGACTAGAAAAATTATCGAAAATAAATGGATGAATTTAAATTCAAAGTCAAACTATTTTGTCAAAATAATCGGAAATGATGCGTAAAAGCAATACCCGCAAAACGGAAAGCAACTGATAAGCCAACAATTCTTGTCTCAAATCGTCACCAGTTTTCACAATTACTGGCAATAAACGCCAAAGAGGATGACGTCCATAGGGTGAAGAATGCTTTATTCGTGCTACTTTTTCCTCCCAGGGTTCACTCATCGCTGATGCTGATGGATCATCAGGTGTATCGCGTAGCTGCAAATTAGGAGTATCATGGCGAAGTAAAACGAAATGACTATAAACCAATGAAAATTATCGCTTCATCCCGCAATTTACAGAAATAACTGCAAGATTTGAATGACGAAGAATTCTAACTTCCATCCGTAAAACTTTTAAATCTGATTCTTTTCGAAACTCTAGAACAGTGCTAACTTTTTCATTCAACTCTTTCAGAACAATTATTATGGAAGAGATACAAAACCAATCTTTGTTGATAAGTCGTGAGGTTTCTTTCTCCTAACAATGCCTTCAAATTTGTACAATAAATGAAACGAAATAATTGCAAAATAATTTCATTACAAAGCTTACTTGACGCCCTGGACCCTTGACCCAAAGCGAGAATCGTTTCCGAATATCAGCAGTATTCCCTTTTTCCTTGAATTCTGGCGACGCACCTGTTGACGAAAGAGGTTTCAAGACGTTAGCAAATATTGGATCATTGGATATGATTCGGATCTACAAATATTCCCGGCTAAAAACTGCAACCAAAAAGTAACTACTGATCACTAATTGCCACTAATAAATACAATGAATGGAAGATACTCAGAAATATTTTATGCTTGCATTTATCACATCATAAGTCTTTTTCCTTTTTCTCTACTTCTTCCGCACTCATTTCAATGTGATTTAAAATTGGCGAACTTTTTCCAACGATAAGGACATGGTCCTTGACGTTACAGCGTCATACCTCTCCACCTAGAAAAACGTTCAGATTTTTTTTCTTTTTTTTTTTGCAAAATGATAAGCCATTAATGTTTGGGTATTGACAGGAAGTGCGACATAATGGCAATCGAAAGAAGTTATCATGAACAACTAATCTTTTTAAATAGAATATACGATAGCTTATTCAAATACATATATTACCTCTAGTAATTGACATTGTTTTTTGGTTGCTGCAAAAATTACTAAAACTAACTTCTTCCGTGCTTTTTTTTAATTCAGTTGCTGTATCTTTCTTCAATGAAGCAAAAACATCGCGACCTTTGCGCTGATATTCTGCTGCTTCAATATCACTGATACGCTTAGGTACCCTGGTTTGTCGTACATCCGCCACTTCAAGTACCTCCACAAACAAACAATATGGAGCCTAAAAATTTAATTTATTAACAAACAACAGTGGAACTACTAGCAGTTAATAGCTTCCATAGTGCGACAGAAATAAAAACATGTGAAATCTCTTGCTCCTGAAGTTTAAGCAGGTCTTGGAAAAATTGCTGTAAACGAAAAATAAACCCTACTATTCGTAAATTATATTTGTAACCAGTTCTCACAATCTAACTCACCTTGTCTTTACTATTCAGTATGCAACCAGCAAGTGGCGGTATTCGAAGGACAATATGCTTCAATGAATGTGCATAAAGTGGTAACCAAACCCGTGCAGGAAGATTGACATTAATTTTACAAAGTTCATCAACCAAACAACGGGTTCGTTCATCTTTGCTTGAAAAGACTTTTAATTTATTACCAATATTCATCAGAGCTTTCACGAATGCTTGCTCTGGCTGAATTTTAAGTGCCTGTAAAAAGAAACAACGTTTTCATTTTATTGCGACGTAACGTTCTAATTTTACTGCTGTATATTCACGGCTTCCTTACACCTTCTAATTTCCAGAGATTTTCAACTTGATAAACTCACTCCACATTTGCACTCCATTTGCACCACATTCTCCTTATTAGTTATTACGCATCGTTCGTCATCAAAACAAGGACAGCCATTATCAAAAGCGCCACCTATAAAAGTTAATGCTTTTGGTCAATTTAACCAAACATCTTATTCAGTTATATGCAATTTCAGAAGACACTCAGTCACACGACTTGTTCAAGGTGAATATGATTTATTAAGATTAATAGAATTTGGAAATAAACATTAAGAACATTAAGCTTTTCAAATACTGAGCTTTTTTCCAAGCGTCATGACATTTACCACGATCCATTTGCCATATTTCGCATGCTAATTATAACTGACAACTTTTTTCAGACTATTTCATCTCCTTCCGCATGGAAAGAGTAAATAACAGTTAGGAATGATAAAATTTAAAAAGTAGTCCATCAATGACTAGATGAAATTTCCTACGTACATCTGGATCAAAACAAATGATTAGTGAGTGCAAATGTATTTCCGTTAAAAATTTCATATGAAAAATTACCCACCGCTAGTTAAATCGCCAAAAATTTCTGTACCATGAATACTTTTATTATTCAGAACTTCATCGCTATTCTGTATTTTTGAGATCATTTGTTGTGCTTTATCAACAGTCCTGTAGAGGTCTGAAATTATTTCCCTGACTTTATAACATTAGTTGGTAAATGAAGTTTCTCTAATCAGTGGCCTGTATAGATCAGTTTTAATTTTCAGAAATCTACAAACCAGAATGTATTACTTGATAAGAAACAAGCTGTGGCTATTTTCACAGTGCATTTTTAATTGATTATTCTGACATTAGCGCATGCAAATTCGAAAAACTATGGAGAACGTTGAAAAGAATAATAAAATCATCAGTTAGTATCACAGTAATCTTCAGAAGAGTAGAAATACTATTTTAATAACGAGTAGTTAGATTCTGCACAACAGGAAAGTTCAGTGATTCATCAAAAACCTTACTGGTTTCTGAAAGAGCCCGAAAATACTGCTGTGTAGGCGATGATAATGCCATCGAATTTGTTTTGAAATCACCTGATCTTTCACGAAATTCATTTAAAATCGACTGTTGTAAACGATGCCCGTGAGATTTTTGTTTGAATTTTCGAAATATGTTGGCTCCATAGGCATCCAATAACCAGCAACACTCCAGCGAAAATTCGACGCTATCTTTGCATCTAAAAGTTTTTATTTTCTCTCTCTTAATAGCGTATATGAAATCCAAGGAAAAGAAATTTAAGAGAAAGTCATTTGTGAAAGTGTTTAAGAACTGACTCTCACTTTCACCCAAAGTGTGTTAAACTGTTTGTGATTAGAAGGGTCATTTGAAATAGAGTATGAATGCCCTTCTTTTCCACCGCTTTATGGATCGACATTTCAAATGTTCTCTTCCTGTTATTAATATCTGACATAAACATCACTGCGGAATATAGTTTCATCAGTTGCGAGAGAAAGAAAGGGTCAAACACATTTTAAGGACAAACCTTCTGACTATGTAAGGATGAATGACTTCTGCGACTTCCCGTATATTTATATATAGTACTATGAGCTGCGGTATATAAAAATCCACCATTTCAGTCGGCAAATCAAATAATCGATTACCTAAAAAAATCTTCCATTTCATCTAGATTTGCGAATGAGAATTTTTTTGTTTTTGATAATTTGCATTAGGCAACATACTTCAGGAAAGCAAGAGATGATTAAGTTAGAAATCTATTCATATATTTAGACAATTTAATGACAATACCTAAGTAATTTAAAACACCGGCTTCTTTACAACTGGATAGATACCGTATAGCTATCCGAATGTCGAACAAATCTGATTCAAATAACCTTAGCAGCCAACTTCGATTGGTTACAGCAAAATTAGGAAAATTCTGAAAAACAAATTTTCTTAACAAAGGAAGGAAAACCGGGAAAACATTACGACTGCATGTTTAATCCAATAACACGGAAGCTTTTTCCAGCACAGATCATTAGTCTCTACAGCTCTACAAGGTATCTAATATTCTTTGGTAATTTCGAACATTTTTTTCCAATCACTCTACGCATAACAATTTTAAGAGGTAAGATTTAAAAAGTGTTGGACCTCATACCAATAGTCTTCGCTGCATATTTTTTATATCTCCAGTAAGGGCAAGGGCATACAGTTAAATAATCAACTAAAATTAGAGGTCACACCGCTCAGTCAGTTAGTCCGAAATTTCCATAACACCTGATTAATGCACTCCTGCAGTTCAATACCTAAATCGAGGAAATGAATATTGTTGAATGGGTTTTCAACGTATGAATTTATAAATATTGAGCTGATAATCTCAAATCTGTTTTAATTACTGGGCTTGCGATACACGCTTACCGATTCTACTTTTCAAAAGTTAGTTATCATTCATCAAGTTCGCCAATTAATAATGAATTTAAGAAGTCGTACTTTAACATTATCCTGTCTTGTCATATTGATTTCATCTCTCGTTTCTGATTCGATAGATGCTTCAGAGGGACTTTCTCGCTTTTCCACGGCATGTTTTTCGAATACACCGAATCCGGATGTATGTCCATCATCTTCATAATTTTCCTGCCATATGCACTCACCAGAAGTAATAGTACCCGTCAGACTTTCTTCGTCATCTGCACCATCACCAGCAGTACGTGGTCCCAAATTTAGGCTTTCCGAAGAGACACCTTTTTCGAGCCCGGTATTTGTTGAATCATCAGTGGAAAATGATGCAATACTGCTGTCCTGACAAATTATAATTTGGTACTTTTAAAAATAGTTTTAGTACTTTATTATTAATCTCACGAATAACGATGCAATGAGATGGTCCTTTCCTTGAGTCACTGAATCATCTCAATTAACAGAAGAGACAGTCATTTTACAGGATATTGACATATTATATAAAAACATTATAGCGCCTTGCTTGGTGACAAGCACCATGATTTAGAGAAAATATTATAACAAGAATGTGATTCTGCGGTGGCATAGTACAAACAATATTCAAATTCTCTACGGCGTAAAGAAACCGCATTGTAATAGTAACTACGGAACAAAATACAAGTTCAAATGGTCATTAAAATCCTTCTTATTTATCCGTGACTAATTTTTGGAAACTACCAAATGTACTTCTCTTTTCATTCATTTATATATCGGAAACTTAAAACTAACAAGATCGTACAATGGACTCATAACACTCCAGGCAAACTTTTCTCGAATTTAAAAAGAGTGAAAATTCGAATTTTCGCGAAAAATGGCAGCATGTACCTTGCTAGCAACTAATATTTCAACATCATTTTCAGAATTCATGTTTTTTTGGCATGAACCGATGGAATATACAGCAGCCAGGGGAGATTTTGTCCCATTATTTGTGCATAATGAATACAAACTATTGCAAGAGAGGCGCTGTGGCTGTGTGACGCAAATAGCTTCATTGTTCGACAAATTGAAGGCCTTTTGAAGAACACATCTGGAAATGACTTATGAATGACAATAGAAGGTAAAGTGAAAAGGTAGATTCTAAATATTCACGAAAAATATATCACTTTGAATCATCCAGATATCTCATGATCGCTCTTCATATAACTGAAACTTGTCTATGCTAGAGTATTCCTTAGTATTTGCAAGAATAATATAAGTTGTGGATTTTGAAAAATGCATTATTCAAATCGTGCTGAGATATAAATTGGAATGATGATTAAGAGAAATTGAAAGGTGAGTCAAATACTAGGAGATTTATTAATTGATTTCCAGGAAAAGGCTTATGATTCAGAAACTTCACACCGTTAAAAAAGCTTGCCTATTATTATACCTAAGGACCAATCATAATAGAAAATCAAATAATAAAAGTATTACGAACCCGAAAACAGCACTGATGCTTGCAGGTAAAAGCAAACAATAAAAATATATATAGCTGACAGAAATGGAGAGAATGCAAGTGATCTACCTATACATTGCATAGAATTACCTTTAAATAAATAATGTTAGAGTTCTTATTAAACAAAACGTATTTGTCAGGACTTTTATTGAATAAAACTGTTTGTGGAAGAACAAATGTGTGAACGAATAAATCAAGTACAAATGATGTATATTCTGTTCCGTTTTTTTTTCTACATATCACAGCTAGCATCAGAACCAAATCATCCGCTTGTGGCTAATATAAGTTAATTACTGATCAGCAAGATTGACCCATCACCTCTTTGAATAAGAATCATTACGCAAGCTTAAACAGCCTATACCATCGGAATCTTCATGCGTATCAGCAGTCTTTACTGTATTTTCTCCAGGACATTCATTACTTTACTCTCTACCATTATTTGACTTTCGTATTTTCCTCTTCTGTTTTCCATTATTATTTATTCAATCAGTTTATTAAAACTATGGATCGATTTCGAGGAAATATTTGATTATTCCTTACAGCTTAAAATGAACAACAACTACTTACTGACCGTGCGCAAATTCCACTTTCTGAATGGTCGCAATCCGATAGTCTCCGCATACTCATTAGTGAAACACCACTTCCGTGCTACCAATGATAATAACAGCAGCTTGACAATGACAGCAACAGTGATATGAATAACTAAATACCCATGTTACTATCTTAACTACTACACTGTATAACGGCGTATCCATGTAAGTCGGATTTCCATCAGCCTTTTTACCACATTCATCGCTGCAACTACAAAACACTTCCGACATTATTTATTACAGCCAATAAACTGAACGCTAGATTAAGCATCAGCAAGAATCTTCGATAAGTGTTCAAGGATTTCTCCACTGATCTCTTCAGCATTGAAAATTTGATTACTGTAATTTTTTCATTTATGCAAAAATATCTTGAAAATCTGAAAATATCTGTATTTACTCAGTCCCAGTAATCCAATGGATTTATGGTATTACTGGATCTGATATGACATAAGTGTGAAATCCAACTGTAAGTAAATGTCTCAGTGTCACTAAACTCATCTTAAATTCAACTTCTAACACTTTCATTACCTGACCACTTCTCTTAATGTTCATTATCAACGCTGATGAGTCTATCTACTGATTATCATATTGTGTAAAACCATTTTGAAAAAGTGAGAATATATACCCTTTGTCTTATCAGACCCAGCAATACTGTTTAAAAAATGAGGACAGTTTAACTTAAAACGTTAACTATGGAAAAGGATCCGATGAGTAGTTTACCAAAATAACTTCATTCATTTGAAGTTCTTGAAGTTAAATCCAGCAGCGCAACCTAACCTACTTAAGGTAACAGCCCGTGAAGGGCCTGTGTGGATACTTATGAAACGTTGTATCTCTCCCACCTTTTTTGCTACGTATTAACGCTCCCTGACTACCGTCGTTCATAAGAAAGAATTAGTCCATCCGCAGATATATTTCGAAACTATTACATATAGTACGTTACACTGCACGATTGCTAGATATCGGAAGAGAAGTATTGGTACATGGATACTAAATTCAGTCAGGAAAGAAATAAAATAGGAACACAGATTATAAATCTGCTATGCATTAGCAGAAATAAAAGTTCTTAATTCCACTTCTAAACACTTTTTCCGACTTTATCATTTGAAATAAACAGAAATTCCAAGCAACAGTTATAGGAACGAAAAATTTGCGGACTTTTGAATCTCCAATGTTTAAAACGCATTTTCTCTTTGATAAATCTGCAATTGCAATGACGATATAATGTTTACAAGTTTGAGTAGTAGTAATCACTGTTGGAGGTGATAAAAAATAAACTGAATCCACGTCCTTCACTGCTTCTTGTTTGCCCTAAAGTTTCTACTAACAGCAGAAACGGCACTTATAGCCAATGACTTCAAACATAGAACGCTGTTAAACACGTCAAAGATTTTTTTTAACCAAATACAAAATATAAATTTGAGAGTATTGACGTATGTATCGGAAGACCGAGAGATTTCCAAATGCTTTAATATATCGATTTTTGAATTTTGCAGAAGTCAAGCATGTTGTTGTTTACGCCCTTATCCTAATATTGTAACATTGTAAAGGTCAAATATGCGTTACATATTACTACTTTTGATCTTACAGGCCGCTCTTTGTATGCATGCCGTTGTCATTGTAACAATCTTATTTGCCTTTGCCGCCTTTTGTAGACATGCCGTTGCTTACCACTTTAATGATCTTCTACGCCTCTCATCGTAAAGGTAAACATACTTTGTTTAAAGGTTGTAAAGGTTACACATCCAATATAAAAGCCCTAACAATGGGAGTCCTTTTACTTGCGGATCAACATTTTCCGACTCCGTTTTTCACATCTTCATGTCTGAATTATATTCCAATTCTTGGTTGAATTATTATACATTCACTACAAATAAACTTTAACATCAGTACCTGCTCACTGAACAATCCAACCTACCCTTCCTCGACGGTTTGAACCTAAAGCTCTAGCATCGGAAATAGATCAAATCCCAATAGTTTGCGGGATCCTAGACGCTGTACTTTTTAACAGATGTGCCTAGGATGGTTCATTAAACAATTAGATCAAAAGCATATCTTCATTTCTCGGGAAATCATCCCATGTCC